GGTCCTCTGAGCTGTGTGAGATACATTCAGTTATGCTTCTTCCTTTGCAAAATTAGTGTGTTCACATGATCAGACATGTGAAAATGGAAGCCTTACACCTTACAATCTTCAACGAACACATGAGAGAGCAAAGAAATTTCTGGAAGTCTCCTACCGATCATGGCATTCCCTGTACTTCTGTGAGGCATAGCTATACCCTGTTTTCCCAAGCCTGGACTTATTAAACTATGTCCTCCTTTAGTCCGTGTAGTGGAACTTCTAGGCCCTGCTAACACCATTGGCATTTTCTTTTTTTAGTTAGGCAGGAGCAAGTCAGGTTTGTTTAATATTTTTTAAGCAAAAGAGTGATTATTTTGAAGAGATTTAATTAATGTGTTGCCCTTTTGAGATACTCATAGTTTTAGCTTTTTAAAAATGAATAAGCAAACCAATGGATTGTGTTAGGGTTTTGAACTGTGGTCCTCTGCAAGAGCAATAAGTGTTCTGTTGACCCATCTCTCCAACCACCAGTGAACCTTTTAAAAGAACCTCATTTTTACTAAACTGGGTAGTGAGTCAGAGTATGTGATAGGATGACCTTGAAGCTGTGATCCTCCAGTCTCCACCATCTCAGTGCTGGGATTACAGGCATGAGCCACCATGTGTGCTTTATCCAGTGCTGGGGGTTGAGGATAGGGCTTTGCATATTCCAGGCAACAACTTTGCCAGTTGAGCTATGTCCTCAACCCCTAACTCAGTTTAATCATTTCCCACATCTTAGTAAAATCACCAATTCGACTTTACTAATATATTTAATCCAGGTCAGAGATCTTTTTCTGTAGGGCTTTATTAAGTCTTAAAGATTGCCTTTGTTTCTGTTACACAGTGCGTGATGCTCATTTCTGCTCTGTTCCTGTATTCTGTTCTTGGAGGTTTGTAGTGGCCCTGTTTTCACTCTACAGTAACTGGCTGTCTTCTAAGCCAGGTGTGCATGTCCTCTACTTTTTTTATTCATTCATTCATTCATTCATTCATTCATTCATATTACTATTTTTACTCCTTAACTTACTTGAGCACAGTTCATTGTTTGCATTCTTGGGTGGCCGAAATGATCATGCTGCTATTTGGCTTAGGACAACTTGGACCCCCTCCCCCCATATGTCTCTCTCTCTCTCTCTCTCTCTGTCTCTATGGAGTGTGTGTGTGTGTGTGTGTGTGTGTGTGTGTGTGTGTGTGTGTGTGTGTGTAAACAGTTTCTCTTGTTTTAAAATCTGACTGGATGTACGGGTGTTTATATATACAGACATGCGTTCACACTGGCATACATATGCACATACAGACATGTGTGTTCATATTAGTGTACATATGCACATACAGTAGCCTCTGTTTTCATGGACTGCATCAGGAAGATTTTATCAATGCTTCCACTCTGTTCTAAACATTTTTTTGTTGCTCTTTGTCTTGTGTGTTGTAGGTGCATGTGGAGGCCAACACTCAATCTGTGGCCCTCAGGAGCCACTACCTTATTGTTTTGTTAGTGTGTGTGCATGTGTGGAGGAAAGGGGGCCGCTTTGGTGGAGTTGGTTCTCATTTCCCCCTTTGTGTGTGTCCCAGATGGTCAGCTGCTTTACAGCTCAGCCATCTTGGTGGCCCCCCTTTTTTTGAGATAGGTTCTCTCATTGGATCCTGAGGCTTGAATGCCAGTTCTGCTAGCTGCCTATCAAGCTTTAGGCTTTTCTAGAATCTTGTGTTTTTGGAGTCATGTAGTGTGTGGTGTTTTAAACTGTGTTCTTTCAGTTAGTGATACTCATGTAAGTTTTCTGTCTTTGCATGGCTTCATAGCTCCTTCCTCCTTCTTAGCATTGAGAATATCCTATCCGTTGGATGTATCAGAGTTTACATTCATCCGCTGAAGGATACTTTGATGCTTCCTTCTGTTTTAGATAATTATGAATGAACCTGGTATAGCTATTATGCATGTGTTTTTGTGTAGATCTAAGTTTGTATTTTTTGGATAAAAACTAAGCAGTGAAATGTATTGACTCATAAAAATATGTGTGGTATTGTAAGAAAACACCCACATGTCTTCTCGCACTCCCGCTAGCAATAAATGAGAATCCCTGCTGTTCCGCTTGCTTACCAGCATTTAACAGGGCTGTCAATGTTCTGGATTTTGGCCAATTTAATAGCTACATAGTGACATCTTGTGGTTCGAAGTTCTAGTGACAGATAGTGTGAAGCATATCTTTGCATGAATATATTTATTTTATTGAGTTTTGAGACAGGGTTTCTCTGTGTAGCCTTGGCTGTCCTGGAACTCCCTCTGTAGACTATGCTGTCCTCAAACCCAGAGATCCTTCTTCTTCTCCCTCCCCAGTGCTGGGATTAAAGGCGTGTGCCACCACCTAGTCGTCTGTATATTTTTTATTGTGAGGTCTTTGACCTGTCTTTACCCAGTCTGGCTTTGTTGCCCATCTTTAGAGGAGTCTGTATTGACTAACAGTAATTGATGGTTATTTTTTCACTTGTGTGGTTTGTGTTTCTGTTTTCCATAGTGTCTCTGGAAGAACATTAATGAACCTAGCTCACCAGCATTTCCTTTGACATATTACCTTTGTGTGGAATCAGTGGCTCCCACTTCATGTAGATCTCCAGTGTCTTCCAGCAGTTTTAGTAGCTTCTCCTTTGTTTGAGCATGCCTAGCCAGTTGTGGTGTTGTCTGTTGAAAATACTCTTCTCCCTTTACTTTCACTCAGTTGTCAAACATCAACTGCTTGCTGTAAGGTGGGTGTGTTTCTGGATGCCAGTTTTGTCCTTCTGATCTTTTCTTTTGCCAATAACCATCTTGATACCTTTTAATACTTTCTAAATAAAATTGTGCTTACATCGTTTGGCTTTTCAAACAGTGTATTGCTCTTACAGTAGAATATTTCGTGCTCTTATTCTAAGGCTTATGATGAGAAGACAGGTTAGAAAATTTAATCTAAACTTTAGATTAGACTGTGAAAAATAAAAGTATACTTTTTTTCTTTTTGTCTCACTATGTAGCTCTGGCTGTCTTGGAACTTACTGTATGGACCAGGCTGACCTTGAAGTCACATAGGTCTGCTTGGCTCATGCCTTTAATACCATGTACACTTTACAGTCAAGACCAGAAGGGGTCTGAAAGCTTGATAGTTACCAAGCTTGCAGCGATTAACTTTGAACTTCTATCTTTTGAGCATGTAACCTCACTTTACCATAGCTGTGCCGTGTTGAAGAATTGCATGGAATTTAAAGGAGACAGTTAAGATTGGATTTTCAGTTTCTCAGGACTAGTGAGACCGCTCATCAGGTCAGGGAACCTGCTGCACAAGCTTGTTGGCCTGAGTGCAAACTCCAGAGTGCATGTGAAAGATAAAGGAAAGCACTGACTCCACAAAGTTGTCTGCAGACATCCACATGCACGCTGCAGTGTGTGCACACCTGCTCCCCTCCCCGCCAGTCTCAGAGAGGCACACATGCACTAAGGAGGAAGAGGGAAGGATGTGAATGTATCGTTTTCATATTGAAATGTGTTACCAAAAGTAATTTCACCGTTGCTTATTATGCTTTAATGTGGCTGCTGGAAAATGCAGATTTGCAAATGGCATTAATATTTCTGTTAGAAAGATCTGATTGAGAATGCCATTCTCGTTATCACATGATTATTGCCCAGATTAGGGTAACACTTAGGAAAGAAAGTAGGGAGAAGTTTTTAAGGGATTATGCAATACCCATATGCACTGTAAAACCTCTGTTGTTTACAAGATTGTGTGTTTCCAGTATAGTTTTGTAATAATAATAAGGGACATATTTTGAAGGCAAGGGACATATTGCTTTGTTTTCATTGTGCATATATTTATCCTTGATTAGATTCATAGCAAGTTGACTGAACGAACAAAAATTAATAAAATAGTATGCATTTCATAAAGTTGTTTGATTTTTTTTGTTTTGTTTTGTTTTGTTTTTTGAGATAGGGTTTCTCTGTGTAGCTTTGGAGCCTATCCTGGCACTCGCAATGGAGACCAGGCTGGCCTCGAACTCACAGAGATCCACCTGCCTCTGCCTCCCAAGTGCTGGGATTAAAGGCGTGCGCCACCAACGCCCGGCAAGTTGTTTGAATTTTTAGGCTATAGATCAGTAAGTTCTTATGCCCTATAGTTTACTAGCTAGCCCTGTTCTTCCTAAAATGTAGAAGGTTAAGGGAACTAGTATCTAGTCTTACTGTAGTCTGTGTAGTCATTTTCTTTCTTTTTTTTAAGTGAGAAGTTTTAGAAAGGGAAGTGGGGGGAGAAAAAAGAGGTAAAGAGACACACTGACACAGAGAGGACAGAAAGAGAAGAGGGAGACAGGGAAAGTCCTGTCTGCTCCAGGGGAACAGCAGGAAAGAGAGAGCGGAAGAGCTCTGTGTAGTCATTTTCTGTCTTCATTTAATTCCTATGATAATCCTGTGAGGGTGGTGTCCCCCACCGTCCCTCAGGGTTGGAAGTTTGTTAACAGGATGAATGTGCTCAGTTTTAGAGCTGTGACTTTCCAGCCTATTTATCTGCTTCAGTAGAGATAGCCTATTGTATGTAATTGGAATCAATCCTGTATTGTGGTTGACATGAAATCAGTGAAAAATAATCATTGAAATGAAATGTGCAGTGATAAATTTTGATCTGTATTGTGTGCTCAGTGAAAGAAATGTAGAGATGTGTCCTAAAACTGAGAAAGAAAAATGACATATTTTTTCTGGTCATCATGATTTTTGTGTGTATGGTGTTTTATTTTGTTTTTGTTCTTTAGTTGTTTTGTCTTTTGGGGGCGGGATCAGGTGTTAATATCTTGCCCTTGGCTGCCCTGGACTTGGTGTGTAGACCAGGCTGGCCTCCAGCTTGCTGCAATTTGCCTGCCTCTGTCTCCCTCTATTCTGGAATCAAAGGCGTATATAGTTCACTCTTCAAGTTCTTGGAGAAAAAAAGATTGTAACAGTTTTTAATTTTTTTTTATCTTTTCAGATAAAATCAAAGACAAAATTAAAGAGAAAGACAAAGAAAAAGAGAGAGAAAAAAAGAAGCATAAAGTAATGAGTGAGATCAAGAAAGAAAATGGAGATGTAAAGATTTTGCTGAAAAGTAAGTTTCTATTTAGTGAACATTTTCTACATTTTATAATGTTCAGCCTACTTAGTAGCCAAGCTCTTAAAGTAAGAAATCTTATTTGCTACTGAATTTTGCTAAGAATAACAACACTGCAAAAATGAAGAGTAAAATCTACTTGAAGTCTGCGTGGTGACCTGCTTTGGTATATGCATTCAGTGAGTTATTAAAGTTTTCATGGCTAAGCTTCACTAAACAGATAACTATTTTAAAAATAAGTTGTATGATTTGGTGTATGCATTGTAGTTTGTAATCATATTTATATAGTTTGATATGGTGACAGAGATGTTCTTGTTAACAGAAATTAGAGCATAGTCACTCTTTATAGAACAGGGCTGTGAGAAACACTTCACTCTGAGCTAAACCAGAAGGGGTACTAGTTTATTCTCTTGCTTGCTTGCTTGCTTAATAATATCTTGATTTTTGTTGTTGTTTGTTTTTTTTTTTTTTTTTTCTTTTCTTTTCAAGACAGAGTTTCTCTGTATAGCCCTGGCTGTCCTGGAACTCACTCTGTAGACCAGGCTGGCCTCGAACTCACAGAGATCCATTTGCCTCTGCCCCCTGAGTGCAGGGATTAAAGGCCTGTGCAATCTACTCCTTCGGCCAAGAGTTCAGTTCCTTTTAGGTCTTAAAAAAAAAAAAAAAACCTCAAAATGTCCTCTTTGTTTCTTGTTACTCTGTTGTTAAAACTGTGTTTAGTTATTGTTTATACATGAGGAAGGGTAGGGCAGTAACAAAATAAATCCTATTAAAAAATCAAAACTTAACGTTACAGTAGAGATAAGAACAGTCTTAATTCACTTAGGTAGTAAAGAATAAATCAGTGACGTTCTTTTGTTAGGCAGCTGGGAAGGCATTGGTTGTTCTGTTAGATTGACAGTTGTTGATTAGAACCCTTTGCCTTTCACTAATTTAGGTGTCGATAAACATTTGTATCCACAAGGATGAAAAAACACTGCAATATTGGATATGAAACACAGTGACTAATTTATATTACTTATGATAAATGTGGACTCTATTTTCATTTCATGCTTTGTCATATTTACAAATAGTCTTTGTTTCTTTATATAATAAACTTTTCTACAAGTCAGAATTTTATATTCAGAGGTTTATTTATTTTATGTATGTGTGCCTGAGTGTACATATGTTTACCACATGCACGTAGTGATCAGAAGAGTATGTCAGAACCCCTGGAACTGGAGTTATTGGTGGTTGTGAGCTCCTCAGTGTGGGTGCTAAAAACTGAACCTGGGTCCTTCAGAAGATAGCAAATGTTCTTAACCATAGAGCCAGCTCTCCAACCCCAGAATTTTCTTTGCACCTTAAAAGGAATATATCCTTGACGAGGTGATGACTTCTTGGTTAATGTTCTCAATCCTTTTTTGTTTCTTTTGCCCCTGTGGCTTTGTTACTGTTGTTGTTTCATTATTATTTTCTAAAATTTTTATTTATTTATTTTAGTTTTGCTTTGAGACAGGGTCTCATTATGTAACCTTGGCTGGCCTGGAGCATGCTGTGTAGACTAGGTTGGCCTAAAAGTCATATATATCCTCCTCCTTCTACATTTGGAGTACTGGGGTTTAAAGGCATGTACCTTCATTCCTGGCTGTAGTTTTATCCATTATTTTTTTTTAAATTATGTATATGAATGCTTTGCCTGCATACATGTATGTGTTCTGTGTCTGTGCCTGGTGCTGGTGGATACCAGAACAAAATGTCAGATCCCCTAAAACTGGAGTTACAGGAGGTTGTGAACAACCATGTGGGTGCTGGGAACTGAACTCAAGTCCTCTGCAAGAGCAGCCAGTGCTTTTAACCACTGAGCCATTTTTTCCAGCCCCCAGGGTCTTAAGGGTCCAGGGTTGACCTCAGACTGGATATGCAGAAATGACATTATACTTCTGATTCACTTGCCTCCAAGTCCCAAGTTCTGGGATGACAGCTGTGCACCACACCCTGTAATGTGTGGTACCAGGGAATATAGCCCATCCCTCTCTCCTGATTTCACTGCGCTGTGGAATAGACTGTAAGCCTTTGAGGCAGGACTTGAATACTGCAGTTATGCTGTTAAGCAGCTAGTGATTAATGCTGAAAATGTTTACTTAGCTGAACCCTATTGGTTTAGCCAAAAAGTTGTTTTGTTCTTTATTTGAATGTTCAGTGAATATTCAAGCTCATATATTCTTCATTTGCGATTAGGTCCCTAGAGACCATATACATGAAAATATCCTATTGAACTGAGAATTTTCTAGGAATATGCAATATTTATCTTGATTTTGAAGCAGATGAAAAATTTAGGAGACATTTTGAACTGAGTAAAGGAGAAACTAGTGATGAAAAGAAACAGAATGAAGTTGGTTTAGAAATTAATTTGTAACTTTTAGGATGACTAGCAAATGTTAAGGAAATGATTACTGTACAGAGGAGGTAAGTAATAATTTATATTGCTGTGAAGATTATGTAAGTAAAAGTGTGGAATGTCAGATTCACTCAGTAGATAGGAATCTTAGAAACAACTTCGAAAGAGTAATTTTGGGATTAAAAAGCAACAAAACCAACACTATCCATCGGTCCTCAATATACAATATATAGGTAATCATACCAGTAAAAGCATGATTCCCTTGGAATGGGAATTCATGTGTTGGCTTTTACTGCCCAGCAAAACCAATCTGTTTAGTATTGTGTGGACATGTTCAGAGAATAGAATAGTCAACTTTTTAGAGGCAGTGTGCTCTTAGTGTGCCACACGAAGGCTATCCTCTGGCCTCCACCCATGCTTGTACCACCCTACAAACCCATGCAGTCCTAAAAGCTGAAATTGCTTCCTGAAGACCATAGATTGGAAATCAGTAAACTGTTACTGCTTCTGTTTTCTCTGTGTGGTCATAGAGTGGAATGTATTATTTCCTATATTGGATATGAAAGAAGATCCAGTTTTGTGGGTAATTTTTTTTTAACTTTGTTAGCGTGAAAGATATATCAAGGTTAGTGATAGAAATTAGTGTCAGTGAACACTTATTAATTTTATTTTATTTTTTCCCTGAGAGTATCTCTGTGTAGCCCTGAGTGTCCTGGAACTCATTCTGTAGACCAGGCTGGCCTTGAACTTAGAGCTCTGCCTGTCTCTGCCTCCTGAGTGCTGAGATTAAAGGTGTGTACCACCACTGCCTAGCAAACTTTTAATTTTAAAGCAAGTATTTCATAATTTGCCACCCAAAGCATATGCTTCTGTACTCTTCCCTTCCCCTCTCCTCACTCCTCTTCCTCCCCACTCTCTCCTTCAGTCCTCCTCCCTCTCTCCTCTCCCTCTCACCTTCTTTTTTTTTTTTCTTTCAGGCAATCCTTTCTAGGCTGTTCTGGAGGTTGCTGTATAGCCCTTACTGGCCCAAGCTCTCTGGTTTTTCGAGACCCAGTTTCTCTGTGTAGCTTTATAGACCAGGCTGGCCTCGAACTCACAGAAATCTGCCTGCCTCTGTCTCCTCAGTGCTGGGATTAAAGATGTGCACCACCATCACCTGGCTGCTGGTCCAAGCTCTTTATCCTTTTGCTTTAGGGCTCCTGAGTTACCGGGGTCATATGTACACCACCCTGTTTGCTATATGTGCTTTTGATGTGCCTGTTTCCCTCCCTTCCTTCCTTCCTTCCTTCCTTCCTTCCTTCCTTCCTTCCTTCCTTCCTTCCTTCCTTCCTTCCTTCCTTCCTTCCTTATCTTTTGTGAGTGTCCCTTTATCTCTTGTTGAACGTGTATCTGAGTTTTCCTGTTCCTATTTCTTTTGCTTTCAGTTTGGCACCTCCCACTTCGACCCCTAGGTCTTCCTTCGTATGTGGAGCCCTCCACCGCTGTCTGTGTGTCCTTGTCTGTGTATGTGGAGTCCCCCAGCCCAGTCAGTGTGTCCTTGTCTGTGTATGTGGAGTTCCCCCAGCCCAGTCTGTGTGTCCTTGCCTGTTCTGCACTCCAGCATCCTTTACTTTGAGTCATATATAATTTGAGTGTTGTTCCTTAGACAGCAGTTCTGTTTCTGTTCTAAGTTTATCTCAAGGGCTTTTATTACATCAGAATCATTGGGTTTTCTTAGAATTACAGGCTTAGAGTAATGTGAACTTTTGGTAAATATTGATATTCCTTAATGTACTTTAAATTTTTCTATATAGGCATGTAATGAATTACATATGAAGAAACCAATGAATGAGAGATTATATATCTTTCCAGTGCAAGCTAGTTCCTAGGTTTGGTTTAATGTAAAGAGCATATTTAACCTCTGTTCTTTGGGGGTTTCTAAGCCTACATTCTGATTCTTTGAAGAGGTGGGAAGACTCACAGGGCCCAGCACAATAGTTGTTCTTATGTCATGATTTATTATTATGAAAGGATACAAAGGAAAATAAGCATAGAGGCAAAAGAGCATAGGATAATATCTGTGGGACTTGAAACATAAGTTTCTAAGAATCCTCTCTAAGTGGAGCTCTGTAGAATATGCCTAAAGGAGTAAATTGTGACAGTGTGCATAGAATGTTGTGGATTGGGCAGCTCATCAGTGACTCAGGGTTCACCACCATCTGCCTACTGTGGACCAAAAAAAAAAAAAAAAAAAAAAAAAAAAAAAAAAAGGGCCCACAAAAAAAAAAAAAAAAAAAAAAAAAAAAGGGCCCACAAAAAAAAAAAAAAAAAAAAAAAAAAAAGGGCCCACAAAAAAAAAAAAAAAAAAAAAAAAAAAAGGGCCCACAAAAAAAAAAAAAAAAAAAAAAAAAAAAGGGCCCACAAAAAAAAAAAAAAAAAAAAAAAAAAAAGGGCCCACAAAAAAAAAAAAAAAAAAAAAAAAAAAAGGGCCCACAAAAAAAAAAAAAAAAAAAAAAAAAAAAGGGCCCACAAAAAAAAAAAAAAAAAAAAAAAAAAAAGGGCCCACAAAAAAAAAAAAAAAAAAAAAAAAAAAAAAAAGTGCTCAGCATATAGAAAACAAGTACTCACATACAAAATATTATTTGTGCAAATGACAACAGGGGAGCACATAATAGGAACCCTTCAGAATTCAAAGTTTGCAAACGCCAGGCAAGGGCCAGCCTAGCAAGCAGTCTTAGGCATATCATCTCTGCACACTGTAATAGTTAATTACAAAGTAATTTGCCAGCATTATTTAGCTCCTTGATGCCCACCTTAGGAGTCTGCTATTCATTTATTAGTTTTCATTTTTAAATTACTGACTGTTGTAATATTTTTTGGTTCATCCTGAACACTAGGGAATGGACTAAATGTTGTCTGTTTTATTTCAAAGTAATGTAGCTGGTTACAGGGTATAAGGGTGAATTTAATTAGATTTAAACATTCTCACTGCAGTCAGGTTTTGTTTTTCTCAAAATGATTTAATTTGTGCAGTTTACATTCACATTCCATTATGGAGTTTGAAATTGCTATTAATACCTATCCTCAAGCTGGGCAGTGGTGGCACCGCCCAAGCCTTTAATTCCCACACTCCGTAAGCAGAGGTGGGTAGATCTCTGAGTGCCAGGACAGCCAAGGCTATACAGAGAAACCCTGTCTAAAAAAACCAAATCAAAGCAAAGCAAAACAAAAAACAAACCAACAAACAAGCAACCTATACCCTTTAAATTATATTTTTAATTTTATTAATAGGCTCTTTTCTTATTTTATTGGATTTTCCTTAAAACTTCTTTGCTTTTTCATTTGGTTTCGCTCCTGTTTTAGTCTTTCTTTCTTTTTCTTTTTTTTTTTTTGAATTATTAATTTTCAAGACAGTATCTCATGTATCCCAGGTTAGTCTAGAACTTAATATGTAGCCAAGGATGACCTTGAATTTCCAGGTCCTTCCACCTCTACCTCTGAGGTCAGGGGCTACCATACCTAGTTTTATGTGGTACTAGAATTGACCTAGGTGCATCTTTCATTCGATGGAAGCATTGCACCACTGAGCAACATGCATGCATAGTCCCTGGTTTTGTTTTTAAGACGCTCACCCGATCTGATGTTTTGGAAGTACATACCTAGACAGAATTTGTTTTCTCACCCTTTCTAATGTGCAACCCTTTAATACAGTTCCTCATGTTGTGGTGATCCCCAACCATAAAATTATCCCATTGCTACTTCATGACTGTAATTTTGTTAGTTACTAATTATAAATATCTGCTATGCAGGATATTGATGGGTTGTGACCCACAGGGTGAGAACCACTGACTTAGATGGCACATTTGATCTTTGAAACCTACATGGAAAGAAAGAACTGACTCTTGAAGGTTGTCTTCTGGCTGCAGCCCACATGCTGAGGCATGCATGTGCAGGCTTGCTCGCGCTCGAGCGTGCGCGCGCGCACACACACTGAACAGTAAAAGAGCGTTGAATAAAGGAAACACACCAGGTGGAGGTGGTTCTTTTGGAGATGCAAGTCTTAGGAATTGGCCTGAGAGATTTAGTTTTAAAAATGGAAACTGAAATAAGAGACAGGTGAGCATGGAAAATTTCATGTAAAAAAAGCATTGTGAGGGCTGGGGGTGTGGCTCAGGTGATGAAGTGCACCCTGCTCTGCCAAAGCCCCGGCTTTCGTCCTCAGCACTGCAGTACACTGGAGGGGGTAGGGTGGGCATGCCTCTAATCCCAGAGCTTGGGAAAGGAGGAAGGAGGGGCAAGTTCAGGGTTATCCTGAACGTTTTTTGAGATTCATCTCAAAATGCATACCCCCCCAAAAATAGGAAGGTGGGATAGATTTATTTATGATCATAAGAATAGAGTGGTAAGGCTGAGTGTGATGGCTCAGACCCGTAGCCTCAGCCCTGTAGTCCCTGCACACTGAGTCAAGAGGGTCACCATGAGCTCACTGTCATAGTGCCTTAACAACCAAAACAACCACAGTGCCTCAAAAAGAGGGTCGGAGAGATGAATCATGGTTAGGAGTACTGGCTGCTCTTTCAGAAAACCTGGGTTTAATGCCCAGTACCCCAGATGGAGGCTCACACCTATCTGTAACTCTGCTTCTAGGGGTATCTGGCCTCCAAAGGTACTTCCAGATGGTGAATGTGGTACACAGACGTACTCAACACCTGTATTTTTAAACACATGTTTTCATAGTCTGCTTACTTCTATATAAGGAAAATAGAGAAGTATTATTGTGTGTATGTAAATGATATATGTGTTTTTGTGTACACAGGTTTTCTGATTAAATAGCCTGTGTGGATTAGATTAGTTTTTTATTTCTGGGATTTGGACCCAGAGTCTGCTACCTTTGTTCACAGAAACTCTTCAGTACATAAGTGTATATGGTCCTTCTACTCTCATGTCTTTCTCTTTTATTCCATCTCTTTACCTAGCGCCTGGGCATCACCGGAGCACAGTGTATGAGAGAGGGTTCTAATTCTGTCATCTCCTGTAGGGTACTTGCTGGATCTTGACTTGGAATTCTAAGCTGTGATGGACTCCAGTAGATGCCAGTGTAGCTTACTGAGGAGGACAGGGAGAGATAAGGACTGGTGTGCTGTGTGCTGTGCTCTGCTCTGACCCTGATGCTCCACTAGCTATGGAATGCTTCTGACTTTGTGATTTGTAAGTCTCCTTAGCCTCTGGATATGGCTGGCCTCCCCCCCCCCCCCCCCCCTTTTTTTTTTTTTTATAATGAGACAGGGTTTTTGAGTTTTTTTTTTTGTTTTTTGTTTTTTGTTTTTTCAGACAGGGTTTCTCTGTGTTTTCCCTGGCTATAGATCAGGCTGGTCTTGAACTCTCAGAGATCCACCTGCCTCTGCTTCCTGAGTGCTGGGATTAAGGGCGTGTGCCACCACAGCCTGTCCAGCCACTAGTTCTTACCTCTACTAAATCCTCAGACCAAAGTGGTGATCCTGTGTCTATGAATCCTCACACTGAATGTTCTGAGCTCCTGTCTCCTCCCGCCTTATTATTCCTCTCTCCACCCAGCCACATCACTCCTGTCTCTACCTCCCTAGTGCTGGGATTAAAGGTGTGTGATCCCAAATGCTATGTGAGCCACCACTGTCTTGCTCTGCTTCTTTTTTAGACTGAATCAGTCTTGTGTAGCCAGGGTGGCTTTGAATTTACAGAGATCTGTCTGCCTCTGCCTCCTGAGTGCTGGGATTAAAGGCGGCTTGGATTTCATTTTTTACTCAGATAAAGTAAACTTTACAATATATCCATGAAAGCTATCTGAAGGGAATTGCTCACATTTATTTCTGAGCTTCTGCTTTTTATATTTGAAGATTACATGTTCTGAACTTTGGCTCACTCATTACTTGGGTGAACATTGAGCACCTACTCTGTCTCGTTAGCAGTCCTGAGCCTGCTGTCTGTGTGTATGTAAAGACAGAATGGACAAGAGAGAAGGAAAGACAAAGGAAAATTTGAATAGAAAGTGAGTTCATTGATTTGTCAGAAGTATCAGAAGTAAACTTACCTATGACAAAACAGTTCCTAAAAGCATGTTTCTTTTTTTTTTTTTTTAAGTAATTAAAATGTGGAGTTTCAAAAAAAATTTTTTCCCAACAGGTGGGAAGGAGAAACCAAAAACAAACGTAGAAGACTTACAAATTAAAAAAGTAAAGAAGAAAAAGAAAAAGAAACACAAAGAGAATGAAAAACGGAAGCGTCCAAAAATGTATAGCAAATCTATTCAGACCATCTGTTCAGGATTGCTGTCTGATGCTGAAGATCAAGAAGCCAAAGGCATCTTAAATGATAACATAAAGGATCACATTGGAAAATCTTTGGATGCCAAGAACTGTGGTTCTAAAGTCCCTGATAACAGGGACTTCCCATTTGTCTCATTGAAGGAAGCACGAGTTCAGAGCAACCTTAAGAGGTTGGACACCTTAGAGTTCAAGCGGCTCATTCATGCCGAGCACCAGCCTAATGGAGGTGCGTCTGTCGTCCATGCCTACAGTGACGAGCTCTCCTGCCTGTCTCCTGTGGAGATGCAGAGATTTGCGGAAGAATTCGTGGGCTTAGTGTTCAGTGAAAATGAAAGTTCTGCAGCTTACTATGTAATGGGTATTGTTCATGGGGCAGCTACTTATTTACCCGACTTTTTAGACTACTTTTCATATAATTTTCCCAATTCACCAGTGAAAATGGAGATATTGGGAAAGAAAGATATAGAGACAACGACTATGTCCAATTTTCATGCTCAGGTAAGAGGTTTTTTTTTTTTTTTTAATAGCTTTTAATTGTATATTTTAGAAAGACGTGTTTTTCCTCTTAATCTTACTGTAGGTTTGAAGTAAAAAGGTGAGAGTACAGTGAAACTGTTTGGGAGTAACTTCTTGATGTGAATTTATAAGTTTAAATTTCAATTTCTGTTTTTTTATTTTACTTAAAAAATCAGTTAATGAAATACTTAATATTCTGAGTCTTCCCCCCTTTTTTTTCTTGGGGCAAGGATTTCACTTGGACCAAGTAAAATTAATTTAACCAGGTATTTTCCAGTCCTTAAAATAGTACCTTTTAACTTTGTAAATTAACTACAGCTGTCTTCTTTGTAATGCCCTGTGAGTGCTTAGCACTGGGCCCATCAAGTTAGTAGGTGCTAAATACACGATGACTAGTAGAAAATACAGTATAATACAGAGTAATCACTACTGAGTATGCAACTATGTGAAAACATAAGTTCATATTAGCCCTTCTTACTCTCTCTTGCTGTGAAAAGACACTGTCACCAAGGCAACACATAAAAGAAAGCATTGAATTGGAGGCTTGCTAGTCCATGATCATCATGCTGGAAAATGGTGGCAGCCAGCCAGGCAGGCATGCAGACAGGCATGGCCCTGAAGCAGTAGCTGAGAGTTTACATCTGACTGACAAGCAGGAGACAGAGACTGGCTTGAGTTTTTGAAACTTCCTTCCTAAACAGTGTATCAACTGGGAAACAGTTATTTAGATATGAGCCTATGGGGAACCATTCTCATTCAAACCACCACAGTATTTTAAGCTAATTTCCATTTCCCACTCTTTTCTGTAGAACTTTATTTTAGAAACTAGAGACAAAATTGAGTTTGCGGTTTTTTAAAAGTTAATGTGTAGTCTATCTAAAAGCCAGTGCCTTTGTCACTGAACCAAAGGTGAGGGAAAGTTTAGACTATAGCCAGTTGACTATAGCTGTCTTAAAAAAAATTAAAATGTATATATTTTTATTTTATGTGCATTGGTGTCTTGTCTGCATGCATGTCTGTGTGAGAGTATCGGATCATCTGGAACTGGAGTTACAGTTGTGAGCTGCCATGTGGGTGCTGGGAATTGAACTCAGGTTCGTTGGAAGAGCAGCCCATGCTCTTAACTGCTGAGCCCTCTCTCCAGCCCCTGACTCTAGTTTTCTTTTCTTCTGGGGGTGGTGGTAGCTGATGTAGCATTCTGGTGTATGGGATGGACACAGTAGTCTTGGGAGCTCTTTGTCTACTGAAAGGCTTTTGGGGTTGTCAGTACTACTAGGGGGAGAACAAAGTCTCACCCTCATCCTGGGCTTACCCTTAGCTCTAGGGTTTTCTTTCAGTTGATACGTATTCTGCTGCATACAGTAGCCTGGAAAATAGGACAGTATTTAAAATTTAGTGTACGTGTAAGGGTTATTCCCTAATGCAGCATATTTGAGAACTGGAATTTAAATATTTTTAGAATGGAAAGGAAGCAATAGAGCATTCATTACTAGCCAACACATTTTATAGAATTCCAGATAGTAACTTTTCTGAGTTACTGAGTTTAGTGGCTGAATCAGGACTGGCATCTAGTCTATCACTTATTGGGTGGTAACTGTTCCATGTCTTATATAAGCATTTTATATGTAATAAGTTGTACTATAGCATGCTTTTGTTTACACTTTATTTAAATATTGGTATGCTTTTTAATGTATTTTAACAATGAAGACACATACAATAAATTATGAATGAATCCTCCAGCCCTGAAGGACTTGGACAATGTGTTAAGTATTGGGAAATGAAATGGTGGAGCAAGGAATAATCCTGTAGTGCTGGATCATTCATGGTTTTGTCACTACTGTATGTAAGTGACAATAAGCACTAAATGGCAACTTTTATACCAAGTAGTTTGCACAATATCACAAATACTCTTGTTGTCATACCATGCAAGAGTGTTTTTAGCAGTTTTTTAATGTGATAAATACACTCATGTATTAATGGTGATTTTTTTTAAGTTAACTTTAAAAATGAATTTAGGAATTACCGTAGATGATAAGACTTTCTATTTTATGGTGGCTGGAAGGGTGGCCCAGTGAGGAAAGGGCCAGGCCTGACTGCCTAAGGTTGCTCCGTTGGACACACCTGGCGGAAGGAGAGAGCCAGCTTCTGCAGGTTTGTCTCTGACTGCCATGTGTGCATCATGGCATGTGTCTCTCCCAGTAAATACATAAAATGTAATGGAAAACAAAAGTTTTTAATTTATGTAATATTTACAACATGAACCTCAGGTCCTAAAGGAGACGCTGAGCTTGGTTACTGCTGTTTTTTCAGTCCTCTTCAGACACACTATAGAGAGAACTCTTGGAAAAGGCTGCTTCTCGGTTGCTAGCTGTGGCTCTGGTCCCCAGGATTTTGTCTTCTGCTACTCCATTGACTCAAGCCTGTCATCTACAAGGACTCCTTTTGATTCTTAGGAAACTGCACAGTCCACATTCCTTTATAAAGTCCTCTTTTGTTTAGTGTGGAGCAAGAATATATAATGAACTCTCAGTTATGTTTTTCTCACATTGGAGCCTTTTCTTTTTTAATTAATTAGTTTATCAATTTGTGTGTGGGGGGTTTATTTTTGTTTGTTTGTTTGTTTGTTTTTGCTTTTTGAAACAGGGTTTCTCTGTGTAGGTTTGGAGCCTGTCTTGGAACTAGCTCTGTAGATCAGGCTGGTCTCGAACTCACACAGATCCACTTGTTTCTGCCTCCCCAGTGCCTGGCATTTGTGGGTTTTTTTGAGATGGTTTCTCTGCATAGCCCTGGCTGTCCTGGAACCTGAACTCATATGGGGATCCACCTGCTTCCCAAATGCTTCGATTAAAGGCAGGTGCCACCACACCCAGCTGGATTCTTTTATTTATTTTATTTTATTTTCTTTTATTGAGAGCTTAGGAAAAAATCAAAATAAAGAGGTCAAATCAGACAAAAAAAGCCTAGATGATTGAGCCTGTGTCTTCAGGGTACTATTAGCTTTGGGCTTGTCCTTAAGCAAGGGAGTCTGAAGGCTCACACAGGAGAGCAAAAGAGTACACTTTGTAGTCTCTGGCTCTCCCAGGGAGATCTGCTCTGTTGTTTGTTTGTTTTTGAAATAGGAGCTCATGAAGCTCAGGGTGGCCTAGTCTCTTTCATATGGGGGCTGGAGTGGAGGTCCTGATCCTCCTGCCCTTACCTCCTAATTGCTGGAGTTTTAGATGTATAGCACATTTAGTTTTGAAAGCTGTGTCTCTTAACCCATTTCCCTCCAGGACTTGGTCCTTCTTCCTATAAATTTTATTGAAGGATAATGTGTACACAGAAAAATGTATCATTAGAGATGAATACTCAGAAGGTGAACAGACCCATTGAGTTCGAGCTGAAAGAAGCTAGTGGTCTTTCTCAAACCATTCTTTATCACTCTTCTGCCAATCTCCCTGAACTCCAACATGTAAATACATATAGTTTAAAAAACTATTATCTTAAGCATATGTGCATGTGTGCCACAGTGTGTATGTGTACTGTGTGTGGAAGAGCCAGAGGAAGTAGGAAGAAGGTGTCAGATCACTAGAACAGCTATGAGCTGCTGTGTGGGTTCTGGGAATTGAACCCCAGTCCTTTGGAAGAGCAGTGAATTCTCTTAACCACCAAGACATTTCTCCAGCCCCCAACTCATAAACACCAGGTATCCATTTACACTAAATTCCAGCAAAATGTTTTACATATTTTGAACTCATGTTTAATGGTACATGCTTTGTAAAGTCTTTCCTTTCAGAATTATGTTTGTGACATCCATTTTGTAGATAGAAGTGTTCATTTTTCTTATTGTTGGGTAGTATTCTATTATGGGTATGTATCGTAATTGTCCTATTACTGTAAGTGGACGTTTTAATTGCTCTGAATATTTTTGTTCATGTGCTTGATGTACATATGTGTCTGTGTTAAAGTATACCTGTCCTTTGAATATCAGGATATAAAGCTGCACAGATACTTGGTTTTGATAGATAAATTGCTGTTTTTTCAAAATTCTTGTACCAGTTTGTATTCATACCAACAGTGAACCGTACTTTTGGTCACACGTAGTATTCTATTTCATTTAACCATTGTGGGCAGTAGTGTTTGCCTGTGGTTTAATTTTATTTTAACTGATGACTAAGTGTTAGGTATCTTTTAAATATGATTATTTTATGCTTAAGTACTTGTCTTTGGTAGAGTTTCTGTTCCACTCTTTTGCCCATGTTTTTTCTTACTTTTTTTCCTAACTAGTAACTTTTAAAAAAATGTGTTGTAGATCAGACCTTTTGATCAACCAAATAACGCTTCTCACTTGGTGTCTTGATTTATCATTCTTAATGCTTTTTGATAACTAGGAGTTAAGTTTTAAATAATGGATACTTTTTTAATAATGGTGTCCTATTTTAAAAATCTCTGTCTACTCCAAAGATAATGACATTCCTTGGCGTTTCTTGTAGAAACTTTTATTGTTTTTTCTTTCACGTTTAAATCTACAATTCATTTCAGATTAATTGTACAGTAGGCAGGAGACGAAGATCAGGGTCGTCCAGTTTGTGGTAGGGCATGCCTGTGGTCTGAGCCTTCCGGAGGCTGAGACAGGAAGGTCATGGTTATCAGGATTAGCATGGGCTACCTAGTGAAACCCTGTCTTTAGAAAATCACAACTTCAACAGGGTTGTTAGTTTTCAATATGGCAGGCATCCAGAGGACTTAGCATGAGGTGAAAAGATGCCCACTGTCCAGGGCACTGCAGTTTCTCCTTGTCAGTAAGTCATCATTCACGTGGAGTCTCTTTCTGGGCTTTGCTCTACTGTTGCTCTTTTTATTACTGATCACCAGGGAAACACATATCAAACCACCATGGAGCCACCTCACTCCATTTAGAATGATTCAGGGTCTGAGAGATGGCTTAATGGGTAAAGACCCTTGCTACGAAGCCTGACAACATGAGTTTGATCCCTGACTAC